AAGCTTGCGAAAGAGAGTAAAAAAATAACTCTTAAAGTGTTTTTTGGCCGCAGCTATAAATTCTCTTAAAGCTTTTAAGCCACAGACCAAAAACGAAGAACATAGAAACTAAGAGCCTTTAAAATGTGCTCATAGTGTTGAGCTGAGGTAGTCAAACTTCCCTCTTCGCTTCGCTCTCTCTCTCTCTCTCTCCTGCTCTTTCTTGGTCTTCGCTACCTCTCTGCTAGTTGCATTCATCATGAGTGCTTTGCAGCTAAGCACTAAGGTTAGCCCCGGGGGATTCTGGCCTAATGCTAGGCCAGCTTTTACTGACCTCACACAGAAGATGGCCTGGCCACAAGGACATCGATGTGGCAGGGGTCCTGTTGACGGTTGCTTAAGCTCTCAAAAAAAGCAGTTTGAATGGCCTGTAATTGCGGTCTATGTGGTCAATAATATTATGTGAGCTAAACTCAAAGTGATTTCAATTGATTAAATACAATTTTAAGCAAATATTGTTGAATATGCAGATAAAGTGTGGCTTAAGTCTACGCCAATTTGAATAAGGCCCCAGGTCAAGAGCTTAAAATATTATTCAATTCCATTCAACTACAACGAAAACAAAAGCAGTGAGGTCAAGTGACGTTTGCATGGCATATTTGACCCAATACCTGAGGTTATCTGAGCCGCATAATTGATTCAGCTCCACTTTCGATTGGCCAAAGGCATTTATGTTAAATAATAAAGCAAGGACATAGTTGCGCTTCGGCTTGAGCAAATGACTTAAATTACTCGAAAATGTAGTAAAGAGTTAGTTAAATACCTGGATTTGTAAATTTCCCATCCAGTGCACTCGAGTGGGACATTTATTAAGTACTAATATCAGAGATGTCTTGATTGAGTGCAAGCTGCACAGGCACACACACATGCGCATATGTGTGTATGTAGGATCGCATATTTGTACGCTCAATCAATGAAAGACAAGAGAAAAAGTCCTAAAAGGAAATTGAGCAAAAGTTATTGCTAAAGAGAGCACGCAAATGAAACATGCATGCTAATGTGAGAGAGAATTTTAATGTGCATGAGAGCGAACAGAGCAGACGATTAAGCAAATTATTTTTGTTTGAGCTTGTTGCAAGAAATTAGTTTGTGCTCTTCTATATAAAGGAAAGAAGGCCAAAAGAAACAAATAATATAAAAAGCGCTCAATTTCCAATCGCAAAGAATAAAAGTGAGAGAGAGATAGCGGCAGAGAGTGGACATTGTGAGTGCCGTGCTTGGATAACCAGTTGCAGCTGGTGTGAGCGAGTCGAACAACAAACACATGTATATATGTTGCTTGATCCCGTTGTTTGAGTTGAGCTCATTATGTTGAGAGCGCTTAAAGAATGTGCGATAATAAGAGCGTGGGATTTTTTATTTGTTTTGGGTTTGTGCTATTTTCGAGAAGGGAATCTCAACTCAACGAGCTAAACTATCTGTTAAATCTGAGCGCAATGTGATATAACAGACGCTTAACTTATTATTTATATAATTGATATTTTTCTTAAAAATTCGACGTGTATAATAATATAAACTACGAATTGTTGCTTGTTAGACAAACATTTGTATTATCTATATGCATTATCTTTATGTATTATCTTAAAGCCAACACACAGACACTTTTGGTACCATTTACAATAGACAAATAGTATATTCTCCCGCTGGCCATGGGCAAATTGAACTATTTTGGCCTTTGATAGTAACGAGCTTTGCACAAAAATCACTAAGCAAATAAATTTGATGTAATTAAAATCAAATATCTTGTGACTTGCCTCAATTTCCAATCCACACATGCACAATGCACAATGCACCAGCTCGAACAATGCAGCAGCGTACTCGGCTAAAATGTAGGCAAATACGCAGCAACGGGTGACGGGCGACGGGCAGCATGCCTCGGGTTGCCTCAAGGATGAAACCTTTGCAGCAATTGCAAATTTAACCATAGACACACACACACACACACATACATACACTCATATATGTATATACCCATACATATACAGTATTTGTAAGGATCTATTGTGTTTAATTGTAAATATTTTCACACACACCTGACGCACTGCACACACAAACAAACAAATAGAGACGCAGTGAGAGTGCGAGCGAGATAGAGAGCGAGAGCGAGAGGCGACAATTGGGCTTACATTGATTTAATGCTTTACGTAAGTATGAGAATCAAAGTAGATATTCGACTAGAAATATATCAAATGTATGTGCAATGAGTTTATTAATTTAATGAAATTATTAAATTTATTGTATTTTATTTCAGTTTAATTACTTCAATTAAAAAAAAAATTATTTAAATTTTATATATATATTTTATATTTCCTTACAATTACCAATTGAATTACAGGGCATACAGTAGTCGACTGTGCCCCATTAGATTGGTCTTGTTTTCGCCTCAAGGTGTTAGAATTACACAAATTGCAATTTATTTGTTTTGCAAACCAAAATCCAAAGCTAAAATTGAAACAATCCCCTGCCCCTGCCCCCGCCCCACACTACCACTAATTTTACACCTCTCACAGACTGATTAATATGCCTTGTACATGTGTGTGCGCGTCTGTGTGTGGGTAAAGGTGTGTTTGCATTTAACTGACGGAAAGGAATGACTGGGAGAGCGGAATGGAAGTTGTTACTGATATCCATGACCTAGACAAATATTGTGCGTTTGCAAGCACTTTGTCATCTGAGAAGCTCTGTTGCCCTGTCCGAGAGCATGTCAGTGTGTGTGTGTGTGTGTGTGTGTGTGTGTGTGTGTGTATGTGAAGCAAAGGACACATTTGTTATTTTGAAATATTTTGTTTGATTTTGGCCAAGGGAAGACTTTTGCCATTGGCCAAGCGCAAGGCATTGGAGGTTTTAATTTGGCTAAAAGCTCTACACACATACACATACACACACACGTGCATAACTTCCAACTGGACTAATTGTTGGCCAAAAAATCCATTTCAGATGCTACTGCAATTGGTTTAACCTGGCGTATGAGTGATTTAATATTGAATTATGGCTTTTGATTTGCTTTTTTCTATTGCTTTCCCTCTCTCTCTCTCTCTCTCTCTCTATCTCTGTCTCCTTCGTTGCCTTGGCTTTCCGTTACGCTTTTTGTACAATCCGCAAAATAGATTTATGTATGCCAGCGATTGACAACCAGACTAATCCAATATGCCAAGCTCTTTTGCTGCCATTACGGTCTTCGCCCCATGTCACGCCCCCAGCTGCCAGCCCCAGCGCCCCATTGAAGCGCCAACAGCGAGCTCGACAAGCAACTGCCATGTCCGAGCATCGAGAAGTAACTGTAAACCATTTCGCTTTGCGGGGTGTCCTTCAGCTTTTTCAACTTCTGCTTCTTCTTTTCCTCCTTTGACGGCACATTGCCAAGAAAAATCAAATCGTTGGCCAGTTTCCTTTTCTTTTTTTTTTTTTCTTTTGAGTAGTACGAAGTRCACAAATTAGTGTTAAGCGTGTGAACGAAATGCAAATATTACACAGCTCATTAAACTCGAATTGGATTCTAACGTTTTGTCAAAGTTTGGCAAACGAGTTGGCTAAAAATAGGCAACGAATTGTAAACAGTGAAGTGAAAAGGACAAAAGAGAGGCGAGCCTGCCAAGATAGGGTAAACGCCAAAGAGTGACAAAGAAAGAGAAGGTAGAAGAATTTTACAAGACAAATATTAGGAGAGTGTGCCCCATTATAGGGTATAACAAGTAAATGTTATTTGATTTTATTTTTTTTTTTTTTTAAGATTATATTTATTTCAGACTACATATATTCTGTTTCCAAACTTAGTTGAGGTATTTCAAACTTTACATAAGTATATAAATTGGCCTGCGATACTGAATGAATGATTATAATATATTTTAAGCGGTACCCAAATCATTTTACTCAGCTTCTACTGACAAAAAATATATCCTTAAGAACATTCAATTGAGGTCTACTTACAGAGCCTTAAAAAGCATTTTATATATGTATATACATATATACCCTAAAGAACATTCATTGGAATTTGCTCTCACGATATTCACTCATTTAAGGTATACTTACAGAACTCTTTATGTACTAGAATCTGCGCCAATCGAGCGATGATTCGTTTCTTTCTCGGAAAACTCTCAAGGAATATAAATCTCTAAGAAGCTAATGAGGAGAATTGTCGCTCTTCATTTCACATCATTTCACAAATTTCTCTATTCTATACTCATTATCTAAGCTTAACTCAAATGAAAAAGAATTTCTCCAATTATATTCAAAATTTCCCAGTGTCACTAAAAACGCTTAGCAACCTTAAATTTCCTAGCAGTAGCTCGATTTAAATTGAAGCCCGTCAGCTGTTGGGTAATCTGTGTGTGATTTTCTCTTTAAATTGGAAATTCGCCATTTACCTCTACTGCTGGGCGATCTGCCCTAAAAATAATTGCAAATCGACTGTCAAAACAATTTGGCAATTTGAAATTCTGTCTGTTTGCCTGCAGCTCGCTGCGCTTCAATGGCATTGGGTGGGTGGTGGGAGGGTGACTGCCATGTTGCTCTCCTAATTTATAATGCGCCCCCAACTTCAATGTTAATTTACGTTTAATGAATTTTAATTGGTTCGCAAACATTAACAACAAACGCTCACGTACGCCACAGAATGCGACCGCCCAAAAATGACCCAAGTAAAATTGACAAATGACAAATGACATTCCGTTGGTAACCCCCCAAGAGAAAAAAAAAAAAAAATTGTAAAAAGAGTCCTGTGTGTCCTGTGCACAGAATTTAAGCTAAAAGACTTTCTTTTTTGAGCATTTCATTGGACTTTTGAGAGCGGGCTCAGTCTGTGGCGCTACCACGCGCTTTGCTGTTTACTAATCAAAAATTGCAAACACGTTTTATATTGGCAACACAAAAGTCATTTATTCAATTTGCAAACCAGTTTTACGTTGCGTAATCTAATCAAAAAGGTTCTAGGCAGCGATGTCGACGACTCGCTTTTAGGACTCCACAAATATATATGTATATATATATATATATGGGCAAGGGAGAGAGGGAGGAGGAGGCAGAGGGTCGGACTGAGCGACTAGTTGTATAAGAACCTCTCTGGCCAACTGCCAAAACTGTGCAGTTACAAAGCTAAACAAAAACAAAGTCTACAGAAATTTTATTTTTCTCTTTTTTTTTCCAGTCAGTTCAGTCAAAACTAAAAATAATAAACGTTTGACGTCAGCGAACCAACCAAATTTATGAGTGGATGCTATTAAAAGCCGTTAGATGAGGCAAATATTGTGAAATGAATGCATCGAGTTTAGGATAGGACTTTAAAGATATTTATAACAATTATGAATTATTAATTAGTATGAGTAATGATGTTAATTAGCCATTTTGGCTAACTAAGAAGCTACTCTGAAGTCTTAAAGATATTATAGGAGCTGAGAAGAAGCAGTCATTGAAACAGAAATAGATAACATACATATATATTTATATATGAATTATCGAGATTTATTTATTTTTTTTTCTTTTTAACTTAACTTTTGTTTGATAAATATATAAACGTGACTATACATTGGGTTGGTGTACATTTATATTAATAAATAANAAAAAAAAAAAGTTAATTATTAAAAATTGTATTTTTGGACTTTTACAAAAGCTAAATATCTCGAAAGTTCAGGTATTTGTTTGTCTCAAACATAAATTTGTGTAAATTATTTATATTTATATTTCTCGATTGTTTTATATGGTTTTGTGCGAGGGCAGTATTACTATTAATAAAAATGCCGCGTCCTAGAAGATCTAATCTTTCCCGGCGGACCCATAATGCAATTAGGCAACGGAATAGCGCGAGTCAATTATCTGACGAAGAGCGAGAAATCGCCCGAGAAAGGCTCCGCGTTAGTACCCAGGGAAGAAGGGCCTTAATTCGTGCTTCTCAAAGAGAGGCAGCCCGTGAAATGGCAATAAGAAATGGTTCAAGGATTGATTTGAATCGAGCAGCGTTTCGATATGATTGCACCATTGATTACAGCTTGAATCGTTTAGTTTGCATTGGTCCAATGGACGTTGTTTGCTAGCATTGTGGCGCATTGAAGTTTGCTGGTGAAACGCCCGGTTTGTGCTGCCTTAGTGGTAAAGTGACATTGCCATTAGCGGTCACCATAGCCATTGCGTTCCCTGCTTTATGGCGAAACACTAGAATCACGACATTTTCTAGCGAACACTCAAAAATACAATGCCTGTTTCCAAATGACATAATTTGGGGCGGAAAATATTGGAGACGGATATTTAAGGTAATTTACGTTAAAAATTTTATTTTCTATGACTGCCAAAAAAAAATTTTGAATAATGTAGTTTGTTAGATTTCTGTAAATAGTGTTTGTAAATATAACTATAACTATGGCTTTGAATTTAAAGATTCAAGGCCAGATTTGCCATCGCATTGGATCATTGCAACCTATTGAAGATGCACAGCAAAAATTCTTGCAAATATACTTCATGGGCAATATGGAAGAACAACTTGACCGGCGTCAAGAAATGAACACAGCTATGAAAAGAGCAATTCTCCATGATTTGCATGCTTAGAAATTTAAACCAACCAAAACTGTGCAATGGAACGCGTTTGGTGATAAGAAAACTGATGAGCAATGTGATTCACGCGTTGATACTCAAAGGAAAATTTAAAGATGAGGAAGTTCTTATTCCTAGGATTCCGATGAGCTCAACAGATATGCCCTTTGAATTTAAACGAATTCAATTCCCGCTTCGTCTTGCCTTCGCCATGACGATCAACAAGTCACAGGGCCAATCTTTGACTATTTGTGGCCTCAATCTAGAAAATGCGTGTTTTTCTCATGGTCAATTGTACGTGGCATGCTCACGTGTTGGCAAACGATCCGCATTATTTGTTCTTGCACCCGACCAAAAAACGAAGAATGTCGTTTACAACAAGGTGCTTGAATGAAAATCCGATTAATAAATTTATCAGTGTATCCCAGCCTGAACAACATAGCTTTCAWYAATTTTTTACCTAGAAATAATATAGAGGGCAATGCAACGTTTGCCGGGCCAGCTAGTATTTTATAAAATTTAAATTAACTTTTATATATGTCATTAATATGAATTTAAATATTATAGTAGTGGCAAATAAATCTTTATTTATTCAAGTATTTTTTTTTTTTTTTTTTGTAATCTGCTTAAATTTATTAAACTATAATCTACAAGGTAACAGCCAGTCGTGTATACTCAATTGCAACATCTGTCCCGCTGATTGTTCTTGCTGTTGTTGCATCAATAAATTAAATGCAGATTTTCATTTTGGCGCTCTGCACACGCGATGAGCCCAATACGCGACGCCTCAGAAACAGCCCGGACTGATGGGCCCCTCTCCTGCCCAGCCCTGCCGCGCCCAGCTCACCCACCTCTAGCCAATTGGTCAAGCCGTGCCTCGCTTGCCGGATGAGGAACGGCTCGCCAGAGTCCGTGGCTGCACGGCTCGTCTGTCACTCTCGATTGGCAGTTGGCCGAGCTGAAACAGCTAGGCGTGGCATGCAAATTGTTGCATGCAGTTAATTATTTTGCACAGGTTGCTTGCAACGCCCAGCGTTAACGATTGCCACACTCTCTCGCCCCGCTCTTTCTCTCCCCTCATTCACTCTTTTTGTGGCCCCTGCTTTGCCTCACTCAGTGGCAGCTTCTTTTCCGACTAACTAATTGAAATATAACATGCCGCCGGCTCTCCTCAATTTGTGCGCCCCTCTGCGGGCCCATTGCTTAATTAAATGAGGTAAAAATGGCCCGCAGAAGCGACTTCGCTGCGTTAAATTGCATGTGAAATTTCATTTTCATGTTAAAAACTTCAAATGAGCCCGGCCAGCCAGCTGAAGAGCTCCTCACGGCCCAGGCGGCGCCAGCTGCATGAACTTCACAATGAAATATAGAAGTAGTTCGTATATTTCAAAATAAGTTAGAGCTGCAATCCTCAAACTGACTGATTAGGTAGTTTGACTCGCTCCAAAAGGAACGCAAACTGAAGTCAAGCAAAACTTCGGAGTAGTACAGTCAATTTCAAAGTTGCCAACTTGAAAATGTTTTCATTTTGTGGGAGAAATTAAATTGGACGAGGCGGGGCGTCAAAGGGGAACAGGTAAGCAGAGGATATTTAATGTAACTTTAAAACTTATAAAATAAAATAAAGACCAATAATTACTTAAGAAAAATAAACATTGAAATTTTAAATAATAATGTAAAATATATAATAGTTCTGTAATATTATGGCAACTCCATTCATTAATTTCCATGTTTTGGAAGAAATGAAGTGAAAATTCATTCAATTAATATAAATTAACAAAAAAATTTAAAAATAATGAAAATGGTCAGTAATAGCCTGACAATGTTTAATTAACATTATATAATACTTTATAATNTTTATTTATTTTTTTAATATTATTTTTGCTGTAAATTCTTTAGAGATGGAAGATATGTTAATAAAAATCTACCACATATAAGAGATGACAAAGGACAACTACTGCTAAGTATATGTATACTAACTATATAGTCAAGTGTAAAGATCGTTAATTTAATTGGCAGTCGACTGGAAATCACATCACTGCTGATTGCAAACCTCAAAGGTAAAACGACCTTAGCCAAACATTGGACTGTATCAGACATTTAGTCAGACGGTTTTCGGGCTCAGTCAACAGACGCTAACGATTAGCGATTGTGAACATGAAAAACAGATATGCAAACGTGGCAAACAGCCGCAGTGCTGTGGCCATGGCCATGTTGCACATTGCAGCTAGCCTATGGAGGTGTGGGGCGGAGGCGGGGATTTTGGGGGCGTTACGGAAAACCAATAAAGTGCTTAAATTTGCGCCTGTACATTTTAATGGGCAAATGAAACAATTTCGCGGCAGCCAGACAGCAGAGCCAAACAACTGGGCACGCCCCCGCCTTTACGTCTCTACTCTACGCCATGCACCTCTTCAGCAGGCATCCGTTCCCCCCTGCACCACATCTCTACTCGGCCGCCCGCCATATGCAGATTAAGCGCGCTTTTAACAATTTACGCTGCATACATTTAGGCGCCGCCATGCAACGCCCCATAAAAAGCTTGAACCAAACTTTCGTTGTTGCCTGTCAACGTTGTTGTTGCTGCCGCAATACCCTAAAAGCGATGGCCACGGGGTAGACGTGTGAGGCTCAGTAAAAACTGGGAATTGGATCAATATTTTTGTTGTCGAGTAAGAAAATAAAAATAATTAAATATGTACTGTGAATATATTTATTTCAATTTTAAATTCATATATTGTAATATTTTTTTATTTGAATTTAATACATTGCTTCTTCGTTTACTGATATTTTTGTACAGTATCGACAATTAACTATGCTAATAACTCCTCCTACTCCTAGCGGCCTATAACAATATTTAAATTAATATTAACCTAA